GAATACAATTCTCCAAATTTCATTGAATATTAGGGTTGCGTATGTCGTCATCTCATAAATACCAAAAGAAATTTGCTTTTGAATATCTTACAGACCATCAACAAGGCAACAATGCGTCTGATTAAGAGAGTGATACGAAGAATCACATATTGATAAAAATCGGACGGGAATAACCTGTCTTTGGCTACCAAAAAAGAACATTCACTACTAAATATAAATACCGCGATGTTACAGCAATAAATCGATGTTTAGATGACATGTACCAGAAAAGACCAAACAAAGATCACCCACCTTAGCATAGGGATGGAAGAATCGTCTAGTTCTAGACCGTCTAAATCGCCACATAGCGACGGATTTTTCGCGTGAAGGCCTTGCGATGAGCGCTGTCTTTATGCCCATGTCTGGATGACAGGATTGAAGGGCTGGCAGACTTCGCAGGCTGGAGGGTCGTTTGAGGGGAGAGCATTTGTAAGGTTCGGGCAGGTTCAGCTCATTGATAGTTTCAATGGCTTCAGTTTGACCTTGTACGGGATCGAGCGGTGGGCTACCACCATCCATGTCGGAGTGCTTTTCGACAAGTGCGTTACGGCGTCCCGCCTCCGATGAGAAGCGCTCGGAAGCGGCGAGATACTGTTCGCTGCGGGAGGGGGTGGCGCCTGTTGATCGCATGGATTACGTCGCAAACAATGCGCAGTGACCAGAGACGAATTGCGAAACTGATGAGTTCTGCTACGGTTTGCCAGAAATGTTGAGGAAGCGTAGATGGAGTACAATTAGGAAACTCCACTTTACCGCAAACTTGACCTCATTGAGTTATAGCTGCCTTTATGTAGAAACTTGGCTATATCAAGCGAACTATGACTCAAGAGTACTTAGAGTCTAGCCTAACCAGTTTAGGCATTTTGCTTCTTTGACTATCGAGACTTTATGATGTTGCCGCGCTGCTTAGCTAGTATGTTGCTTTTTTTCAATTTAAGTAGGTAGGCCGTCTGCACTTGGCGATGAAAGTTGTACGCAAAATAAGAGAAAAAATTTTTTGGGGTCGTTGAGATGATTCATAGATTACTCACTTTGTACAAGAGAAGTCCCGGAAAATTCCAGTTCTTTAACTAGAATGCTAAGCTCTCCTGTATTTTTGCAAATCTCCTACTGATGAGTCTAAATCTC